AAAATCTTGATGATTTTTACTAGTTTAAAAGAATAGAAACCCTTTGTAAAGGCTTACATATCACAAAAAAGTGTCTGGTACAGGGGTAGGCAACCTTTGCTCTTTTATGACTCGTGGACTTCAACTCCCAGAATTCCTGAGCCAGCATGGCTCAGCTTGGAAACCTCTCCCTGTCCCCTCAGCATGGCTGATTTAGGAATTCTGGGTGTTGAAGTCCACGAGTCATAAAAGAGCCAAGGTTGCCTACCCCTGGTTTGGTACTACTACTGTATGTCACTTCATAAGGTCCATAATGTTGCAAACGTCTCATAAGGTGTCTGTGAAACTTACTACGTTCCATCTTAGCAGGACTGATTTGAAAGTTCTTCCAGAACTAAATTTAACAAGTCAAATACCCTTACAAAGTTCTTCATATAGAACAGGGGTGAGGAACCATGGCCCTTTTATGACTTGTGGACTTCAACTCCCATGCTGGCTCAGGAATTCTGGGAGTTGAAATCATAAAAGGGCCATGGTTCTCCACCCTGATATAGAACAATTATGAACAAAATGAGGTAAGCTAGGAAGGAAAGTACGGGCAATTACATATTTATTGAAATTAATTCTCCACTCAGAAAAAAAAGCATTTACTCACTTTACTCATCATCGGAAATTTTGGTAAGAGCAAAACTTTGCTTAAAACAGATGGAGATTCTTTCTACTTAACTGCAATGTCTTTTGAGCTTATGGAGAGATAAAGCGATGGTCATAGTTTCTGAATAGCCTGTGAGCTTAACACCTCCTCCCTCTCAACTTCACAGAGATAGTCATGCTCACAAGCCAAAGTGATTTCACACTATTGCTAAGAATAAAATAAATGAAATTCAACATACTGGCAAATTTAGATGTGAATGAATTCAACATAATATGGTGACTACCTTACAGAATAACAGAGTTGGAAGGGACCTTGGAGGTCTTCTAGTCCAACCCCTTTTTCAGGCAGGAAACCCTGTACCATTTCAGACAAATGGTTGTCCAACCTCTTCTTAAAAACCTCCAGTGATGGAGCACCCACAACTTCTGGAGGCAAGCTGTTCCACTGATTAATTCTCCTTAGTTCTAGGTTGTTTCTCTCCTTGATTAGTTTCCATCCATTGCTTCTTGTCCTGCCTTCAGGTGCTTTGGAGAATAGCTTGACTCCTTCTTCTTTGTGGCAACCCCCGAGATATTGGAACACTGCTATCATGTTATCCCTAGTCCTTCTTTTCATTAAACTAGACATACCCAATTCCAGCAACCATTACCCTCTTCTTACATCCTAGCTTATTTGTGGATTGGAATATACATACTCCTCATTTAACAACTGTCCTGTTTATGACTGTTCAAACTTAGAATAATGCTGAAAAAGTAACTTTGCAGCTCAAACTTAGGACAATTACAGCATCCTATGATTGCTGTTTGCGAGCTTCACAACCAACTTCCGACAAGCAAAGTTGATGGAGAAGCTGGCAGTAAGTCACAAATCATGATTATATTAAGTTGTGCTTAATGACTGCCGAGACACTGATGGCCTTATAAGAAATTTATAAGTCTTATAGCCCAGTCATGTGATGTTTTGTTTGACAACCATGTTTTCTTAGTAATATAGTTGCTGGTCGTTAAGTGAGCACCAAACTTCTAAAAAGGAAGGGTATCAGAAAATCATGGAGTCATAGACTGGAAGAACAGCTGATTTCCTACAATAAATCCAAATAAGGCCAGCCAATAACTGATCCTGATAAATACTGGTTTTATTTTATTTATTTTTTAAAAATAATTAAATCTTTTTCATGGCTAAGATCCAGAAAAGATATTCCAAGACAGGGAGAACCAAGATATACTGATGACCCCAAAGACAACATTTCCCAGCATAGAACTTTCTGGATGAGTTAGGCTGTGGATTATGGGAGTTCCTGTCCCAAAGTCCTAAATAAGGAAGACTGTTTTAAGGTTTGCTCTGCGGTATCTTCTTGCAATTGGATTAATGTTTTTTAATCCTCTCCTTCCCAATCAGAGATGCAGATATTTGTGACAAATGATTTGAGATCATATGAACTGAGGAGAATTTCCTCTTCTTTCATTCTGTTCATGCTCTGAAATCAAGAAGACGTTTCTGCAAACTTGCTAATCAATTAATTGCAAGGTAGTCATTGAGGTGTTTGTAATTCTGCACGTAAAAGGCAATGACATCCAGATGGAGCTGAACTGAATAATGCCTCTGAACTTTTGAAACTGTTTAATCAGAATTGCCATCACCAAATCTAGTAGCAGTGAATTTCAGAGGATAATTGCAGTTAATAGCAGCCTTTTTTTTTGCTTGTCCCAATTGAGTGCTAGTTTCACTCACTGATTCTAAGTTGTAGCAGAGAAGAAATATGCTACTGCCATCTGCTATCTTTCTATTATTGTAGATATTTCACACTTCAGTCATTTCTCCCCCCCCTTTTTTTTTTGTAAAATACCAACCCCACACACATAATTTGATATTCGACAGGGAGAATTTACTGCACATGAATACAGGTAGTCCTCAACTTAACCACAACTGACCCTAATATTTCTGTTACTAAGTGAGACAGTTGTTAAGTGAGTTTTGGCCCATTTTACGACCTTTCTTGCTGCAATTATTAAGTGAATCACTGCAGTTGTTAAGTTAGTAACACAGCTGATATGTGAATATGACTTTCCCCATTCATTTTGCTTGTCGCAAAAGGGAATTACACAATCCCAGGATACTGCAACTGTCCTAAACGTGAACCAGTTGCCAAGTTTCCAAATTTTAACCATGTGACCGTGGGGATGCTGTAATGATCATAAGTGTGAAAAAGGGTCACAACTTACTTTTTTCAGTGCTTTGTAACTTCAGTCACTAAACAAACTCGTAAATCAAGGATTACCTGTATCTGGAACTTTGGCTGCCTCGTTTTCTAATGGCCAATTGCATTTTAAAAAATAGGCATCCTACCCTACCCAGATTTGTGGCTACCTAGTCTTCTGCCACTTTGATAGGAATTATGAGATCTGAAATCCAACATTTCCATGATGACAATACTATTTATTCAAATTTTGGTGCTTTCACCCCAGGACACTGACATATTTTTATGTTATTTTTATAGTACTGTCTTTCCCAAAGGAGCCTGGAACAATATACAAAAACAACAATAAAACAAATTAAAACACCCATGGGAACAACCCCGTTTCCCTTGGGTGAGTTTCTAATTAGGCAACCAAAAATCCTCTAGTCTTCTAGTCCATATTACTGCACTATGAGCCAGACCCTCTGATAGAATCATAATCAGGGTTTTCCTGCTGAATTTATTGCATGGATAGGCTAGTACACTGGGAAGTCACCTCTGCATTCAAATTTTTTTTTAACAGAACATCTGTACTTGCTATGTCATCTGGTTTGGAAACAGAGGGTTTCCCAACATTGCATTGTTTGCACCCCTGACATCAGACAGGGATGTCAGATGGGTTTAGATAGTTCACTCCAAATCCACCTTAAAGCCCTTAACAATTACTCAGGGTTTCCACAAAAGCTGGACTTTCCCCAACAATCTCTCAGATGCCTCTGCTTTACTGATTTGACTGATCTATGAAACCTACAAATGGTGATGGCATTAGGCCAAGTTCAGGAGAAGATCAGGGGTCCCCAACCCCCAGGTCCATGGACAGCCCTGGTCCGTAGCATGCCAGAAAGCAGGCCGCACAAACAAGCGAAGCCCCATCCACGAGATGCAGGCAGCATACTCCCCTTCCGGCCCGTGGAAAAATCTCCACGGAGCCAGTCCCTGGTGCCCAACAGGTTGGGGACCGCTGCTGTAGATAATCCTAGAGCAGGGGTAGGCAACCTTGGCTCTTTTATGACTCGTGGACTTCAACTCCCAGAATTCCTGAGCCAACATGGCTGGCTCAGGAATTCTGGGAGTTGAAGTCCACGAGTCATAAAAGAGCCAAGGTTGCCTACCCCTGTCCTAGAGGAACATTTTAGATCTGCTGCAGTCAGGATTTGGCGTAGACGGAACAGGAACAACATTAGTTACACTATTGAATGACCTTAACAAGAGCAACAGACTCGCTTTAAATCTTATTTGGTTCCTTTCTATTTCTTTCCACAGTGCTCACCTGCATGCAAGCAAACTTAGACATATTTAGCAATAAAACAACCCATTCTATCCTGTAGTTGCAAACTCTTTTTCTCTTTTTTTCCACTCTCCTTTCACCCAGGTGGTAAACCTCAACAAACATTTTCTTTTGTACCCTGAAAAGGTATTCCCTAGTTTCTGAAAGGGAATACTTTTAACAGCGAGAAGGGTTTTATTTATTTTTGGAGAATGGAATATTGCTATTCTTCTTTTCCAGCTCAAGTTATCGATGTAAGTCAGGGGGGTAGTTAAGATGGGAGGGGTAGGAAAAAGGAGGAAGAATTCAATCAACGAGTGTCTTGAATTTGCAGGATGAATTGCCCATTTCATGGGGAATCTGTTCATAGTTATGTTGCAGATTGCACCGAAATACTAAGCCTGCTTTATGCAGAAATGTGAGAAATAAATTGTGGACTGGGAAGAACAGATTTTTAATCTGAAGCTAGAGGGCCAAAAATAGGGATCAGCGGCACCTTCATTAGAGCAGTTCCCTTGGTTTTGTTTTTAAACCTTCTGTCTGGCTGCTGCCCTTAGCAACCACTTCTGTTGCTAAATCACTGAGAACATGATAGAAGGCCCTGATAGGAAAGACAAGCAGAAGAAGCAGATGGATGCAACAGAGAATGGTTGCCATGGAATTCTGATTCTACTTCTAATTAGAATATCTGATTCGGGATAAAAAACAGCAACAACAACAACAGCAACATTCCCAAGAATCCCACATCCTAGTAGCAAGGAATCGTGCCTCTGTTCTTTTGATCCAACCAGATAAGTCTTCTCATTTGTTTGTTGTTCTGTTGCTGTGTTCTTGTTTACCTTCATTTCATTTTTTGTTTTCAGTTGACATGTGGTCAGTAGGGTGCATCATGGGAGAAATGATTAAAGGTGCTGTGTTGTTTCCTGGCACTGATCGTATCCTTCCTAGGCTGTGGGCTTCTCTAGATAACATTGTTGTTCTAATTTAACTTCTGATTTGGAGTAGCTTAACACTTACAGACGCTTATGAACTGCAATTAACATTGTATATAATGATGCCTTTCCAGCACTGCAATATCTTTATTTGAAAAGCGACATCAACCTTTGCCATAGATTCAGAATTCCTGAATTCCTCGTTCCCTGTTTATCAGGCATTCTTCTTTAACTTTCTGAGTTACAATAGATCCTCCTGGATCTCCATATTTTAATAAAGCTTATGGCAGTACTTTGTAGGTTTAGTCTGGTTTGCAGGAGCATTAATTTAATTTTTTTAATGAATCCATGTCCATGCAGTCTGGATGACTGTATTAAATTAACTGATTGGGGAGAGAAATGCATTGCTAAAATATAGGACGCCGCAGCTTAAATAAATGGGCTGTAATTTTACAATAGGGTCACTATAGATAGTTATAGTATCTTCATCTGATGTTACATAGTGGAAGGTTGGTTTTAGCCTTTATACCCTAGCTTGCTCATATATGGAATCGGTTGGGCAGATAAATGAATAAATAAGCATCATAGATCCATTTCTTGTTTTGTATTGGATTTACAAATTCAAAAGAGCTTGAAATCCTTAATGGCACCTACTGAGACAAAATGATATGCTTGAGGGTGTCACAGTTTTGAAGAATGAGTCAAAATAGGTTGAGTTGGTGTTATATATTTAAAGATCCATTGCTTTGGATCTTGTGCAGGGACAGCACCTCTCTGCTGTTCATTAAATCAGGTACTCCTTATTTTCATAGCTTCCTACAAGCTAATTTAGTGTTTCAAGTCAGTGTGTGTATGCTGTGACTGATGAAAAAAGTAACCTGCAATTTCTTTAGCAATATTTTTATTTTGGATATCACTACTGGGATTGATTCCTACATATCTGACAACTGAGTTAATGTTCAGAACTCAATGATATCTGTTTGCTTTATATCCTGCCTCTCCTCCAGTAAATACTGAACTAATAGAAGAGCATACATATACGTATACATATACATATACATATACAGTACATATAGCACAGAGTTGAACTCTAGAGTCTAAGTGCTCTCTGATCTTGATTGTTTGCAGGTGTTTCATTATCTGACTAGATAACATCATCAGTGTTAGTGATTGTGTTGTTTGCTCCCTGTTTATATACAGTCGCTTGCCCTGCCAGGTGTACCAGGTGTGGTTTTCTGTTATCAATGCATGCATACCCAATCCTTGCTAGCATTAATGATGTTATCTAGACAGGTAATGAAATGTCTACAAGCAAACCACCAAAGTCAGAGAGCACCAAGGATACCACAATGTTGAATTGTACTCCATCTTCTAGTGTTTTCTCCAACAATGACTCTGTTAGATAGATTGGGCTGGAGGTTAGTGACAGGACCAAAAGTTACCAAATGAGCTTCTACTGTTGAGGGTGAATATGAACCTTGGACCTTCAGCCTAGTCTACCCCCATCATTTCTCTCCTGTACTACACTGGCTATCGTTTTACAATACGCAGCACCTTCCTTCTGAGAATCCACATCTATTCCTGGTGCTCTGATAAATATAATGCAACATAATCTCAACAATGGACATTTTTGCCCAGCTGTTGCCTTTTTACCCAGCTATTTTAGCCAATCTCTAATATTGTCTTCCAAACCAGGCATAAATATGAAATGAGTTTTGATTTAGGTACCCTATTACTCTGCAATACATTCTGGATTCAGTCATCGTTCTGATGCGGTTAAGTAAATAGAATAGCTTTTTAATGTAAGAATAATTCTTTCAAATAAATCAGCAGGGGAAAAAAAGAAAAGATAAACCTGACCCAAAATGTCCTATAGATAATGCATTTTAAAAGCCTAGTTTCTTTCAAACAGCTGCATACTTATTAAAATGTGTTCACAGAGCCTCGATAATTAAACCATTAAAAGCATTTGCTGTAGAAAAATTCCCTAGAAACAGCCACTAACAGCTGATGATTTGTTTCAAATTCATTCTTAACAATGTTGGTATTTTTAAAACAAATAAGACGAGGGGAAATGCCATTAAATATGCAAATATTTAATAATTCAACAAATTTTATTTTATTTTATTTTATTTGCAAAAGCTATTTCTATTGATTGTAATTTTGTATATTGTGTGCAAAGCTGATTTCACATGTTAAGGTTCAGGCTTGGGTCCATAATCTGCTGGCAGTTATGTCCATATTGATAGAAGAGAATATTTGTAGCTCAAGGTTGAACTGTAGGATCCTTGGTGCTCTCTGAGTCTGGTGGTTTCCTTGCAGATGTTTCATTATCAAATTAGGTGATATCAACAGTGCAAACCCTACCTTCACCAGCACTGAAGATGTTACCTAGTTTGGTGATGAAACATCTGCAAGAAGACCATCAGACTCCGAGAAAGCAAGGACCCCACAGTTTTTTCCTTCTCTGATCTGCATCATCTCAGGCCAAACCACCTGAGAAGAAAACATATCCAGACTACATATCAAAATATGTCCCAGAACAATGAGAAGTAGCTTTCTGTATTGATACATAAAGATCATCCAAGTATCCTGCGTTAATAAGCCACAATGTAAAGAAATCCCTATGATTTTCCTGTTGAACAAATGGTAAACTGCCATAGAGGTGAACGTTACTTGATGTCCAGACCCAAGATTGTGTTCCAGTGTCTGCAGACAAGCTAGAAATCATAAGACAAACTAAGCTCTTTTTAAATTTAGCTTATTATTCTGTCTTTTTGGAGACCCCTAGTTATGCTTTTGGGTTTTACTGTCATACTTTCTGATTTGTTTAGGCTAGATTGATACATAATGCCAAATCAGACTCTTTGATGTATTGAATAACCCAGAGGGCCCATCATAATAAATCACAAAGGCTATGCTTTAAGGCAGACATGTTAAACACAAGGCCCGGGGGCCGGATGCGGCCCGCAAAGTGGTTTCATGTGGCCCGTGAAGCCATCCTGGAAACAGTGAGGGAACGGCCCCCACTGCCTTGGCCCTGGCCCAGGCCGGCCGGGAGCCAACGTAGAATTTTGTGGTGGCCATCTATGCTGAAACACATTCAGTCTTAGCTCCACAAGGCCGTCTGGAAACAGCGAGGAACCAGCCCCTGCCGTGTGGGCCCCGCCCCCTGGGTGCATACTGGGGAAGTGTCACCCTTTGTGAGGAATGAAGAAATGGACCATGCCTTGGCACTTGCCCCGGTCCCACCCCCTTCTGCCAGAGACCCTCAGATCTGTCCCACTCCTGCTCAGGCCCCCACAGGCACCCTTGATGCGAATGATGTAGAGCTGGCCATGCCCACTCAATAGGCCACACTCTCTCCATCCACACCCACCCAGTAGGCCGCACCCACTCTGGCCACACACCCCTGGCCCTCCCGAGGGCAACCGCAATGCTGATGCGGCCCTCAATGAAATTGAGTTTGACACCCCTGGTTTAAGGCTTTGTGCAAAGGGGCATATTGACAACAAACAAACAATACACTAGGATATCTGTTCAAGATGCTCAGAATGGAAGGTGGCTGGATTAATAGGGACTAAGGATAATAATATTTTGCTTTCCCTCCATGCAGTGCTTAAATAATTTGGGGAAATTATTTGGTTTTTATCTTCATAATATACAAACCATAATATCCCATGAGGATATTTACCGTAACTGTTAGTAGTAGAGTTGGTGACAGGTAGTCCTTGACTTATGACCACAATTGAGCCCAAAATTTCTGTTGCGAAGCAAAACAGTTGTTAAGTGAATCACTGCAGTTGTTAAGTTAGTAACACGGTTGTTAAGTGAATCTGGCTTCCCCATTGACTTTGCTGGTCAGAAGGTTGCAAAAGGGGATCGAATGATCCTGGGACACAGAAACCGTCATAAGTACATGCCAGTTGCTAAGTGCCCAAATTATGATCATTTAACTATGGGCATGCTGCAACAGTTGTAAGTTGAAAAACAGTCATAAGTCACTTTTTTCAGTGTCCTTGTAACTTCAAATGGTCACTAAACGAATGCTTGCAAGTCAAAGACTACCTGCATTTCTTTTTACATTTTTACCTTCTAGTTTTCCCCTGGTATTTTTATAATTCTAAAAACCTCCAGATCCTTCCCGTAATGTTTGAACTGCTCCTATTTTTGCTGTGCCTAAAAACCTATGCATGAAATAGAGCTCTTTATATGTAGAAATTCCATTTTATTCCATTGATACTTGTCAAATGCCAGAGTTTGCTTTTAAAAGAAATGGCGATGATGGTGAGCCTGTGAAGGTTTTCAGCTATGTTCCTAAGGATTTTTGGGATTTTTGGAATTAAACAGTCCTCTTTGATGATCTTTCTAATCAGTTAAAGCAGACATGTCAAACACAAGGTCCGGGAGCTGGATGCGGCCCGTGAAGTGGTTTCATGTGGCCCGCGAAGCCATCCTGGAAACAGTGAGGGAACGGCCCCCTCTGCCTTGGCCCTGGCCCAGGCCAGCCGGGAGCCAATGTAAAATTTTGTGGTGGCCATCTTGGCACTTGCCCCGGTGGACGATGCCTTGGCACTTGGCCCGGTCCCACCCCCTTCTGCCAGAGACCCTCAGATCTGTCCCACTCCTGCCCAGGCCCCCACAGGCACCCTTGACGTGAATGATATAGAGCTGGCCATGCCCACCCAGTAGGCCACACCCACTCCATCCACGCCCACCCAGTAGGCTGCACCCACTCTGACCACACCCACTCGGCCCCCCGAGGGCAACCGCAATGCTGATGCGGCCCTCAGTGAAATTGAGTTGGACACCCCTGAGTTAAAGCAACCAAAAGGATTACTTTCTTCTCCCGACTTCCATCTTTCACCTTCTCCAAATCAATTTCCAGGGATTGTATTTCTGGCATTTGGAGAACAAATCAGCTATCAGAATAGACTGGAGAAGAAGGGGACAAAAATTAGGTCAGGTTGCAGAACTGTATACCATCTACTTGTCCCTGTTGC